CTCTGTTCCTTAGTAAGGGGAGAAAGAGGTGGAAAGTAGGTTTTGAGCCTTTTACAAAAATGTATAATAATGAATAATGATGATGGTAACTAGCTAATATTTATTGAAGGCTCAATACACTGTTCTAAGCACCTTACATGTATTAAGTCATTTAATTCTCACAGTAACCCAACGGAGGAGATATTTTTTCACGAGGAATCTGAAGTATAGAGGCATACGTCCCATAGCTAGTGAAAGTCAGAATTTAAGCCAAAGCAGTTTGACTTTAGAACCCAGCCTCTAAACTACTGTCAATATCATTAGTGTGTTGACACTTCTTCACATTTAATTTTTTGGAAGCAAATCGTCTCTTTTAATTGAAGTGTGGAGATTTGCTGAATAAGTCACTTGAAAATCCCCCGTAAAACCACTCAATGCAAATCATGTTATCCATTTATTCATATAATGAAAGCATTGCATATATCTCGGGAAGCTTTGTACAGTTTCAAACACAGCATAAAGCATTTGCCAGTGATTCCACATGAATAATACAACTTTGAACAAGCAGTTAATATTTTCCGTTTCAAAATGTGTTTGACTGAAATCTGTGTGCTCAAGTCTGGGATTTTGATTGTGTGTAGATTTTATCATCTGAGTTTAAACTCATTATTCCTTGGAACAAAACCTCTTTTCTCAATCCCAGGAGGCAGTGCTTAATAGACAATGTAAGCATGTGTTTGAGCATTAGCAAGGGGGCACCAAAAGAGAGAAAAAATTTTAAATAATTTAATATTTTGAATTTTTTTTCAGTTTTTAAAATATATTTATTTCAGATTATTTTCCGTTATGGGTTATTACAAGATATTGAATATAGTTCCCTGTGCTAAACAGTAAATCCTGTTGCTTATCTCTTTTATGTATAGTGGTTTGTATCTGTTAATCCCGTACTTCTAATTTATCCCTTCCCCTCCCTCCCTTTGCCCTTTGGTAACCATAAGTTTGTTTTCTATGTCTGTGAGTCTGTTTCTATTTTGTATATAGATTCATTTGTATTATTTTTTAAGATTCCACATATAAGTGATATCATATAATATTTGTCTCTGTCTGACTTACTTCACTCAGTTTGATAATCTCTAGGTCTGTCCATGTTGCTGCAAATGACAATATTTCATTTGTTTTCATGGCTGAGTAATGTTCCATTGTATATATATACCACTTTTTTATCCATTCATCTGTCAGTGGACATTTAGGTTGTTTCTATGTCTTGGCTCTTGTAAATAGTGCTGCTGTGAACACTGAGGTGAACTAGAGTTTTCATATTTTCTGGATATATGCTCAGGAGTGGTATTGCTGGGTCATATGGTGGTTCTGTTTTTAGTTTTTTAAAGGAACCTCCATAGTGTTTTCCATAGTGGCTGCACCAATTTACATTCCCACAAAAAAACACTGTAGGAGGGCTCCCTTTTCTCCACACCCTCTCCAGCCTTTATTATTTGTAGACTTTTTGGTTATGGCTGTTCTGACCAGTGTGAAATGATACCTCATTGTGGTTTTGATTTGCATTTCTCTAATATGTTGTTGAGCATCTTTTCATGTGCCTGTTGGCCATCTGTTAATGTTTTGTGACTTTTAAAAAAACAATGAAATAGTCTTTCTAGGAAAAGTGGTACCTTGTGACTCTCATTTTGTTTGGAGTTATTTTGAATTATATGTCATGGCTCATGGGGGAGACACACTGTAGACTTGATGGCAGCCTGGCCCTGCTTTGGAACTTGGTGGCACAGATACAGTTGTTTATTCATGATCATCTAACAATATAAAATATAAAAGAAATAATTGCTGTGAATACAGTGGAATGTTAGTTTTCTGGAAGTGTTTAGGATGTATTAATTGAATGAATGTTGCCTTTTAGTTGTGTTCCTACTGGGAAACTGTGGAGGGGGAGAAGTAGGAAAGAAGACATTTTAGAGCCCCTGGGAGTTTTAGAAAGAGGAAATTTTAAGTAGCCATTAAAAATAACTTTGTAGGATACTGATAAGACACTCTTTTTTCATATTTTATGAAATGCGAAAAGCAGGATGACAAACTGTATAATATGAACCAATTTTTGTTTTAAACATAGATATAGAAAAAAATTTATCAACAATAAAGTTATCATATGCACTAATATATCATCAGTGATTATCTCTGGATGGTGGGTTTCCAGAATAAACAACTTTGTTTGTCCTTGGCCTTTATTTATTTGTTTATTTTGCATTGAACACATATCGCTTCTGTGAAAAATAGAAAAACAATAGAAGAGAACTCTATGCCAGTGGATGTTAGAAGCACCATTTCCAAATGAGCTGGGAAGGAAAGGTAGTCAGGATGTTTTTATGAGCAAAGGCCAGTATGTGGCAACTAAGTTGTTTTGGGGTGGCTTTGAGGGTAGTTTTAGTTTGAACTTCAAGTTGGACTTAGAGCCCTTGGGCTCCTTTTTTTTTTTTTTTAACTGGTATTTGAATTAAAAAGTACGCAGCTCTGACCAAAGGGTAGAGGAGAGACTTGATTGCAGAGAGTAAAGATACTGAAAGAGTTAGATCATTGTTTCAGTTTGATGCCAAAATAGTTGAGTAACGTAACACTGTGTACCTGTGGTTCACCTAATCTAATAGAGCCTCTTGCTGTGAGTTTGTGCACTTGCCCTGCCTTCACAGCTCTGTGTACCAGGGAGCAGTATTGAGGGAAAGTACAGTTTGGGAACGGGGTAGATTGGTGTCATCTCCCTGGGTGGTACCATTGTGAAGGTGTCCCAGCGAGGGAAGGTGATGGTAGGCCACCACCTGAGGAAGACCTCACTGGGTTTGGGAGCTGTCCTGTTTCGTCCCCTAGTAGAAGGTAGTGAATTCTTTGTGGCCTGCTCAGCAGGGTGTAGCATGCTGCTTCACCTCAGGGGTAGGGGAGGGAGAAGGGCCCCTGGAGGGGTAGAATGGCTCTGAGTAAATATTTGGAATGGGATCACCATGAAAATTATGGGGCACTCTTGGTCTTCAAATGTAGAAGAAAAATGTTAACCTTACATGTGGCAAATCATTTTTCCCTTTTCCTTTTCTTAGAGAGAAGATTTTTACTTTGACACATGTTATCCATTCTACAGTTTACAATTCTGGAAGATTTTATATTCAGTTTTCACTTTAATTGTATGAAGGATAAAGTGTATATTTTAAGTTGGCCCTAGAAGTGTGGTTGCGTTTTAAAAATGGAATTCTCTTTAAGAGTATAAGGATGTATTAAGGCTAAAAACGAAAGTATACTTTTTGGTGAGTTCTGAATAATAATTTCTCTTCATTTGAAATGCTGAACTCCAGTTACCTAGTCTCTAAATTTAGGTATTTCAGATTTATAAGTGCCAGGGAAAACCAGTAAGGAAATGTATTATTTATGTTTTATTCTCATGTATACTACCTTTTACACAAAGGTGTTGAGTCACTTTATAAAAAATAACATTTACAAGAAATATTGGGTTTTAAAAAAATTATGAAACCAATACCAGAGAAAATAAAACTAGGAGTGTTAACATTAAGATGAATAAATTGATCATAGATGTGAGTTTCAGATGTAGCTGTGTTTCCTTGTTGCTGAAGTAAAATAAAAGGGTCGCTCAATCTTCATTAAAGAAAAAGAAAAATACCAGTTTTCAGTAGCAAGGCTTTCTGTAGCTGTAATTTCTAAGTAAAGTTTCATGTGACTTTATCTAGGGTGATTGATAATGTGGTGATGTTCTCAGCAGTAGTTTGCAGGAAATTAAGGAATGTCAGTTGCAAGTTAATTGCAAGAGAGTGGTTAAGTAGTTTTTTTGAATAAGATACATGTAAGAAGTGTTTTTGTTTTTTTTTTTTTTTTTGCTGTACGCGGGCCTCTCACTGTTGTGGCCTCTCCCGTTGCGGAGCACAGGCTCCGGACGCGCAGGCTCAGCAGTTGTGGCTCATGGGCCCAGCCGCTCCGCGGCATGTGGGATCTTCCCGGACCGGGGCACGAACCCGCGTCCCGTGCATCGGCAGGCGGACTCCCAACCGCTGCGCCACCAGGGAAGCCCTAAGAAGTGTTTTAAAATGGGAGAAATATACTCTTTTGTTGTTTAAAAGCAGTTTCTCGGCTTCTAAACAGAGTTCTCTGATTTAGCTCCTCTGCTACCAACTATTCACCGAGTTGTTTCAAACAGTAGTACTAAGTGATATTTCTGGTCATTGTTTACTACCTGTATTATAAAACTGTATTGCTATTAATCTAATCAGAATCTAGTTAAATGATTGGGTTTTTTTTTTCACTATTCAGTTGATTTGATAGGGGATAAATATAATCAAAGTTCATTCTACCAAGTATCAGTCACTTGGTAGAATGAACTGTACTTTGTTTATGCAATACACTTAGTTCTTTGGACACACACTATATTTATTCTGTCAACATTTTCTCAATAAGCAGAAATGGTTCAATTGCGGATTTTGTTTTAGTTGATTCATTGGCTTGTCTTCGGTGTATCCTTCTTCCAAATAAAGCATTCTTTTTAAAAAATTATTTTTTTAAGTGGGGTTGAGGGTTGTGATTCTGAAAACAAATCAGTTGTCTGGTTCTGGTTTCCTTTGGAACATTATTTGAGATGTATTGAGGATTTATTATACCAAAGATTTATTATACCCACTGATTCTTTCTCTGGGCTCAAACAAATTCTTTACAAATGTTTGGCTGTCTTTTAGGCCTATAGAAACTTTAGGATTGATAAATTTTATGATGTTACTCTGTTCTGGCAGTGGGCAGTCTTAGTAATAAGTGATTGTTTTATGGAGTCCTTTAGCTTTGGGATATCAGGAACTGAATCATGCCCATGATTTCTCAAGCTTCTGTGTTTGTTAGAGAATATCAGGACTACCAAATCAAGAAAGCTTGACATCACTACCTGTTACCTAAATGAAACCTGCGTGAGTGCTTGAATTCAGTTTAATTAGACAGTTTCCAGTTTAAGCCAAAAAGTCAGCATTTTTTTTCTAGGAGCTAACTCTATGCATTTCAACCAAAGCAAAAAAAGGGGAGGGGGAGATACGTTGATTCCACTTTAGAGGTGAGCCTTTTAATCGGGGAGGACAGTATTTGGCCTCTCCCGTTGCGGAGCACAGGCTCCGGACGCGCAGGCTCAGCGGCCATGGCTCAGGGGCCCAGCCGCTCTGCGGCATGTGGGATCTTCCCGGACCGGGGCACGAACCCATGTCCCCTGCATCGGCAGGCGTACTCTCAACCACTGCGCCACCAGGGAAGCCCAAGTTTCATTCTTTAAATGAACGTAGTGGAAGAAAACTGAGTGGCCGTAAAGGCAGCCTGCGGTTTGAGTGCTGTAAAAAGCAAATTAAATAGACATAATCGTTCTGTATGAACCTGCTATTCAGTTAAACAATTAAGTACTTACTGGATATTATTCAAAAGAATGTACCAAAATTTTTAATAAAACAAGAAAATAATTTGTGCGATATTGGCTAAGGTCTAGGTAGTTTGGGCTGGCATGACCTCTCTGAAATCTGATTTAACTGACCACATAACACATCCTGTTTGGTGACTATCTACATCTTCATAACAAACAGAAACAGAAGACATATATTCAGAGGAAATGAAAGAAGCAGAATGGGGACTTCCCTGGTGGCACAGTGGTTAAGAATCCACCTGCCAACGCAGGGGACACGGGTTGAGCCCTGGGCTGGGAAGATCCCACATGCTGCGGAGCAACTAAGCCCATGCGCCATAACTACTGAGCCTGCGCTCTAGAGCCCGCGAGCCACAACTACTGAAGCCCGCGTGCCTAGAGCACATGTTCCACAACAGAAGTCACTGCAACGAGAAGCCCACGCAACGCAACGAAGAGTAGCCCCCACTCACCGCAACTAGAGAAAGCCCACGCGCAGCAAAGAAGACCCAACACAGCCAAAAATAAATAAAGTATATAAATTAATTTTTTAAAAAAGCAGAATGCACACTTGCAGAGTGGTGAAACTAAGAATACACAGTAACCATAAGCTGGCTTGACTTCTAGGTTATTTTGTGTGTGTGTGTATGTGTGTGATAGTGCTTATATGAATGTAAAATACACCCCCCCACAAGTTTTGAGATTTTCGACTAAATGCGATAATCTTTTTGTTGTTGTTATGGGAAGATAACACAGTGTTAAACTTCCATTTATTGCCTCTCTTAGTAATGAGGCGTGACTTAGGCCTGCTAACTCACAGCTCTGATGAACTTTTCAAGTGTATTATTCAACCTTTGCAATGGAACAGAATGCCTCTTCCAGCACGATAGGCAGATTTTCTCCGAGATACTGATTTAGTAAATCAACACACATACAATACAATTCTTTTTCTTCTAAAAACAAGCAATTTTAGCATTATTGTTTTTTTGTTTTTGTAACTACAGTTGAATTCATCAGGATTGTTTTGTATTAGTTTGTTTTCCTTTAAGTCAGTGGTTCCCTGACACAACTCTATAGATTAATGCTGGCCCATGACAAAGCTTTCACAGGGAGCATGAAGTGAGTTCTTGATAAATCTAAATGTGCTCAATGGAAAGGCTTTTAGCCCAAGATTTTGTCCTTTCTGCGTTTTTATTTTTAAAGGAAAGATCATTTTTAAATTGGTAAAATTTGGGGGGAAATTTGGTTAATGAGATCTGAATGTTTGGAAAACACTCTTTTCAAACTCCTTAACCATAGACGGAATCCTTATGTGCTCATATATCAGAGATTCTCTTAAACTAAACTAGATGGGAATCTGTGGGTCAGATTCTTCTTTAAAATATTTACTTTTTTGGTTAGCTTTTGTTAGATCATGCTGTGGTGGTAAACAGTTCCGCACTCTCAGTGGCTTTCAGCAGCAAAGCTTTCTTTCTCGTGTTGCATGTTGCTTGTAGGTTGCTGCAGCTCTGTGTGTTATCTTTGTCCCAGGAACCAGTCTGAAGAAGCAGCACTACCTAGGACATGTCATTCCCATGTCAGATGGAAAAGAAGCCATAGCTGAACTATTTCTGTTTGTAGATGTTTCTGCCATCATGAGTCAGATGCCCAAACCTGATGTCAGTGGACGTGAGGCAGTATAATCCTCCCATAGTCCCTGCAGGTAACATGGCAACAGGTGGAGAAAACAATGCTCTTATAGGAGGGGAGCAATAAATGGGAGTGAGAAAATCTGTCACAATATCACTCATGTGACTGAAGCACTCATGTGATGTAATGAAAATGTTTAAAAAACAATAATAAACACGTATCTACTACCAAGCTTAAAAACTATAACCACTACTTTTGGTTCCCTGTGTGCTTTTGTACTGCTTCCCCAAATGAAACCATTCTCTTGAAATCTGTGCTTTTGCTTATCATCCCCTTCTTCATATATTCCATTTTGTGGCTCTCCCGCCATTTATCTTTTTTCTTGAGTTAATTCCAGTTTTTTTGCTAGTGTGAAAATCTTGCTAAGGATATTCTTTTATGTGTCTCCTGGTGTACAAAACAAGAGTTGCTTCAGGGTATGTACTTAGGTGTGGAATTGCTGGAATGTGGGGCATATGTCTCTTCAGTTTTAGTAGATAATACCAAATTGTTTTCCAACATGGTTGTACAGTTTACACTTGTACTAGTGGTGTTGTATGTGTTACCAGTTCTCATGTCTTTGTTCACATTTGAAAGTCTGACAACATCTAATTTTTAGTCTAATGGGTGTAAATCAGATTCTTTTTTGAATGTTCAAGGAAGTGCTTCTCAAACTTCCATGTGTACATAAATCACTTGGAGATGCTATTAAAAGCACAGGTTGTGATTCAGTAGGTTGGGTTATGCTTGGGAGCTGAGATCCTGCATTTCTCATAACCACCCAGGTGATACCAGTGCTGCTGCACCGTGGACCATACTTTGAGTAACAAGGGTTTAAGGCACTCGAATAGACTTGCCCCTGTGTTGGCTCCACATAACACCTAAAGAATCTTTGGAACAAAATTGCTACATTAACAGCATCTGACATAGCCACTCAGTCTGGGGTTTTTGAATCATGCCTGATGTTTTTATTGACCTTACATGAGCACTACAGATAATACTTGTTTTTCACGTAGCAATTTGGAAAAAAAAAACCCCAAGCCACAATGTTAATCACTGTACTTGTTTTACCTGCTGCAGATGCTTTTTTTTTTTTTTTTTGAAACCTGTTTTGTGCAAACATTGGCCATTAGCAAATAAAGTAGTGGATTCCTTTTTCCTAGAGATTGCTTGCTTTATAACTTACAAAGAGAATTGAGAATTTAAACCTAAGCTAACCTAAACTTTTAAAGACACTTTATTTTCGGCTATGTTGGTACTAGATTAAAATTACCTATTAGGTAGTTAAAGAGTTACCCATAAATATCTCCACTGGTATTCTTTAACTTAAAGCACCTAAAACCAGGGGAAACTTTGCCCAGTTCTATTCACTTATTTTTTAAAATTTTTAGTTGTTTTTACTCATTCATGGATGAATAACAATATAGAGCAACCCAACCAACTTTTTATTTAGTGGCGTATGTGTACATTACCTATTTTAAATCAACCACAAAGTATTTTGATTGTAACCATTATTCAATGAGTTTCTAAGTGATTTCTTTAAAGGAAGAAAATTTAAGGAGTCTTTAAGGGAGATAATAGACCTTGTCAATATGCAAGCATTAGAATAACTGATCATTCATTAACTGGATAAAATGAAGGATAAATAAACACATTTTCCTCAGTGCAAGATGGTGGTATGTGGTCCGTGGCAAGCACTGGTAGCAAGGTAATTCCTAGTACTTCCAAATTGCATTATTTAAAAAAACAGATGTTAAGACAGAAACACGACTCAGACTAGCTTAAGCAGTAGAGATTTCTTGGCCCATACAATTGGGAAGAACAGAGATGGAACGGGCTTTAAATAAATGAGATAGACATTCTCATCTTGATGTCAGAACCCTCTCTTCATCTCCTAGCTCTGATTCTCTGTTTCTGTGGATCCTTTTCTAACACACGTGAGCTTTCCTCCGAGTGTTAGTGGTGGTGGTGGTGGTAGTGGTGGTAGAGGGAGCTTTTTGAGGAGGAAGACAGAGTGACAGCTTCAGAATTATTTCATTCCAAAAGGAAGTGAGAAAACACCCTTCCAGAGGCCTTCCGCTCTGAAGTAGCCCTGCAAGTCATTCACTCTTTGCTCTATCAACTGTTTCCTTCACTGCCTTTACCACAAATTATCTCATTTATCTGCTCACCTGATTGTTGTTCCTCCCCACTACAAGGAAGAATCCTTGAAGCAAGAATAGTGCCTCTTTTGTTAATGGGGCAACCCCAGGATCTAGTAGCCATTCAGGAAATAATAAGCCAACAAATATGTGAAATTCCAGGGTAGGACTCAGGCCTGCTCCAGGCACTTGTCATTATGTGGTCTGGAGGGGAGGGGACTGTGATCGCTAGGCCTACCAGAACCTCATGGAACAGGGCAAGTGTGGTTTTACATGGGAGATGGAAATACCGTAAGCTGAAAAACTGGGGAAAGATGCTGAGGAAACAACAATAAAAATGTGGTTTTTTGTTTGTTTGTTTTATGCTCTCTAAGTGTAGTTTACCATTTCACGCAACTGCCCAGTCTTGTTGTATAAGGTTGTGCAGATCCTGCAGTGCTTGGCTGAGGGGATGGAGGGGGGCTGAAATCCAGCCAGAGACTCCATTCCTGTGGCTTCCTTTTTCCAGGAGGTACTGTTTTAAATTTACCCAAAGGCTCTATCTGGTTTCTGTACACAGTGGCCCTGTGTAAAGAATATCCACCTCTCCATCTAACCTTCTAAAGAAAGAATGCTAGGGGCAAAAGTAAGAGCTGGATGTGTCTTTGCATCTGGATCCTGCTGGCCAACTCAGTGCAGACTATGTGCTTAACCATGTCCTGCAAATACTCTAAGAGAGGTGACTTGTTTTGGGAAATTCCTCTTTTTTTAACCTTCTCCTCACTCCATTTTCCTATTTAGTGTTAGCTGGTCAATTTTCCTGAGCATGCTCTTTGAGCTGAATGGTGACTGAATGGTGATGTACATACTGTCATCTTTCTTTATTGTTTATCTACATTTCTCTGCATTTCCATTTTGATTACCCTTATAATTCTGCTTCAAGGGGAAGAAGAAATTGCCTATATCCATCACTGGCCCTTCAGACTTGTCTTAAAGCTTTATCTCTTTGAGGTTTGTTCTGCTTTTTGTTTGATTAGAGATCTCTTTGGGGCAGTGAAATGCTCACTACTTAAAAAGAGGAGAATTGGTTGAAGGAACAGAAACCCACTCAATCTGACTCAGGTAAGGCTGCTGGGAATCTCATAAGTTCCAGACATACAGCTGAGCCCTTCTTACATGGAAAGTTCTCAGGCAGCTGTTCTGGCTTTCTTCCTCTTTGTGGACTGCTTGGGTTCTTCTTTGCTTCACTCCGGACATTGTTTCCATTCCTTTGATTTTCTTTAAACACTGCCTTTGTCTGCATACTGATCAGCCTGCAAGTGGCAAAAATGGCAACTAGTACTTAATCTCATTGGATTCTGTGCACGTCCACAGGATGTCTGTACTGTAATCACTTGGGGAGCTTAAAAAAAAAAAAAGAGGTTTATATGCCTCAAACATATTCTGAGTCAGTAGGTCCAGAGTCCTAGAATCTATATTTTAAGAATATTCCCCAGCAG